CCGGATGCATCAAGGTGAAGAGATGTTCAAGCTGCTTATAACTGGCTTTGTTTGTTTCTTGTGATTCCACATTTTTTTTTTTTACAATTTTAAAAAAAAAATAATAATTTTTTTCCATTTCTTTTTCTGCTCTGGTTTTGCGTTTTTTGTTGTTTTTTTTTAAAATTGAAAGTGAAAATTGTTTCAACCAGTGAATTATTTTTACAATATTTCCAGTTTTTAATTCGTGACTCCTCCCATTGTGCAATCATGGGATGGTCAACATTTATTTGGGTCATGCTCATTTTGTTACGACTACAAATCATTAACTCAAATACCTGCTCGGATTAATACATAGTTAATTTGTTATAAAACATTTTCTTTCTTGCTCTCATCTTCGTCTACAGTTGGGGGATACCCGGTCCCAAAATTACCAGACGATGAATATGTGGATGTTCAAGACCACTATGACTACATACCAGCCGACTCCGTTTACTCTGGGAGTACAACCGGCAACTCTGTGGCCCCAACGGAAGTCGACTACTCGGGTACAGTATCGAGTACGGGAGGAAAATCTATTTACTCCACGACCACGGACAACACTTACCTCCCATTTAATTCCTCATCAGGGGCTTCCGACGCAACATTACTGAACAACAGCAAATACTGAATATCATCTTCTCCTCAAACAATTTTCATGAATCTCTTTTTAACTCAAACAATTTGTGTGTGTGTGGGGGGGTACCCAAAGTTCGTAAATTTTACTTTTTTTAAATAATCAAATGGGACAAATTCAGATAAACATTATGGAATACATTTATATAAACATTATGTGATAGTGATACATGATTTATAAAAACATTATGTGATGGTGATACATTCATATAAACATTGTTGTCAAAAATGTATCATTACCCTTTGTTTTTTTGTTGTTTTTTTTTAATTTAAGAAATAAAGCTCCCAAAGTTATCTAAGAAGAAATCAGTGTATTCAACAATTTACACATGACTTTTTATCATGAAAATCTCATTTATCTTTACAAATTTTAATCGGTTTGGGGGGGGGGTAAATCAAAATAGATTGTTTTTACTCGGGCTGATTTACTGGGGGTGGGGATAAAGAAAGAGACACATCCAGACCAGACATGCAAAGGTAAGCAAATCGTGTTGCGTTTTGAGCGTTGTGTTCAATGGCGTCAGAGGCTTTGCTGACCATCACAATGTCGTGATTGAAATTTCCAGGGAATATAATCTCAATGTTTGAAATGAGACGCCACAAAGACAATTCTGTCTCATTTTAAACGTGGTTATTAGATTATCTGTTGGTGGGTTGTTGTTGTTGTTTTAAACTGACACGTTGTGTCTATAAATAGAAATGTGTGATTGCAGTATCATTAGCTACTTGAATAATATGTTTATTAATATGATTTGATCAGACTTGTTGCTCACATTGCAGTTGAACATATATCTACCGTACTATTTTGATATTTATAATTTGACCAGCACAAAGTAATTGATTTCAAATCATTTACCGCAGTTTATAACCTACAATTTTTTTATTTTTTTTTGGGTGGTACAAAGTTCTCGCTCTATTTGAACTGGCTAAAACATTATTGCCCTCCAAACTACTTATTTTGTGATTGGCTGGCTACAAAGCTCCAGTAAATTGATTGGTCAATGTGAAGAGGTAGCACCGCGTTTTCCTTTTTTTTATACCATGGCCGCGAACTCATGTCCTAAATATACCCCTGAACCTAACCTGAACCCTAAACTTATCCCTAACCTGGGTTTTGACCCTATCGGAACCAGGGACAAAACACGCAAGTTGACGTCAAATCTCTTCACATTAGCCAATTTATTGAACGAAATGTGCAGACCTGCCTTATGTATTTATGTGAACACTGGGAATTATATTATTATACTCTCTCTTTTGTCCTAATTAAAATTTATTTATATTTTGTCGAGTGGTATGTTATCTATTTTTGAATGTGTATTTCTATTGTTATCATTATTTGTTTCTTTATTTTGGTGCAAGTATTACCGTGGGATTAACATGGGGAGCTTTTCTCGAGTTGAGTATAGGCCTGCACAAATCAAAGTGTAAGGTGGGCCGTAATACTTTGTCGACAAACTTGTGCGGGCCGAAAGATAATAGGACCGGGGGGTGGGGGAAGCTATAAGAAAATAATAAAAAAGAATATTTCTTTACTTCGCGGGCCTCAAAGTGGGTGCTGGCGGGCCGCACGCGAGCCGTATGTTGTGCAGGACTGTTCTAGTTTAATAGTGTTTTGTTTAGGTTTTTTTAAAGATTTGAAAAAAAATTATTAAAACTTACGGGATTTTTTTTATGTGCCAATAATTGACCAAACAAAATTAGAACCTTTGAAACGATCGTCTATTATCGAAAAGAAAAAGTCAACAATAATTTAATTATTTTATTTTATTCTAAACATGGCCTGTGGGGGTGAAAAGCTTGAGTTTATATTCTAAACACGTGAGCACTGTTTTAAAAGCATTCCGTTTCAACGGACGATGTGCTGCCCAATGCTGCAGAAAAATGAAGACGGGGGGCGGGGGGGGGAAGGTCCACATAGGGTGGCACTTTTTTCTTTATTTTGAGGGGCTTTATTTTAGGCAAACTGCAGTAGTTCATGGGAAAAAGAGGTGGGGGGGGGCGCCCCACAATCTTGGCCCGCACCGGGTGGCATTAACCCTAACTACGCCACTGATGGTGCCAATTTATTTTTGTTAAAGTGGGGATAGTATTTCTTGGTTCCCATTTCAGATTACAAATTTCAAGAAATCACACAACGAATAAAGTATGTTTTTCCCCCACTAAGCTGTCCGTCTACTAAACTTAAGTTCTCTATGTTTTCACTCTAAGTCGTGTACTAAACTTGAGCTATTCAGCGTTCCCGGAGATCATGCTGAGGGTTTTTACCAAACCAAATAACTAGTGATCTTATGTAGTGAGGAATTTGTTTTACCAAACCAAATAACTAGTGATCTTATGTAGTGAGGAAATTGTTTTACCAAACCAAATAACTAGTGATCTTATGGAGTGAGGAATTTGTTTTACCAAACCAAATAACTAGTGATCTTATTTAGTGAGGAATTTGTTTTACCAAACCAAATAACTAGTGATCTTATTTAGTGAGGAATTTGTTTTACCAAACCAAATAACTAGTGATCTTATGGAGTGAGGAATTTGGCTAAAGATATTGACTGAACACACACGTCCGGACGTTAAATATCACATGATTTGCTGCTTGGATTTCAACACGTGCAGAGTTCTACAACATTGACAAAATGTTTAGTGCCTGTAATATAAGATCTAATATTTGTAGTTCTGTGATAGATTAGTTATTTCCAATTTGTGCTGTAAATCGTTCTTCAAGAATAGAGTAAACCTATAAGTAATTGTGAAGAGGATTCAATTTTTTTTAATGAGATTATAAATACTTACTAAATTAATTGTGTATCCCATTTTCAAACTAAATTATACATCATTAAAGTAACTACATAATGGTGTGTTAATACATTCGGTTGCCAATCGTATATCCATTTCAGCTATTTTAAATCTGAGCCTGCTAAGCGACAGTGGATTTCCCCATCAAATGAAATGTTAAATATTTTCAAGTGATTGTAAAACTAAATGCTGAAGGACCTAGAAAATCAAGAGGTAGGCGCAGTAATGCATTAAAATTAAGTGACTACACCTGGACAGTTACCTGGATGCATAACTAACTTGGTAGCAGGAAGTATGTTCATTTAGGATCTCTAAAGTAATGACTAATACTACTAGTACTGTAACAAGAACCTATCAAGTAAATAATACCTTTCTAGTAACTAGTACCTAAAAAGTAGTTTTAATAGCTATCATGCGTAATTGGTAGAAGACGTTTTTTAACAATTATTTCTGTAGGGCAGGCCTGCACAACTCAAAGTGTAAGGCGGGCCGTAATACTTTATGAAAAACTTGTGCGGGCCACAAGGAAAAAAGGAGGAAGGCCGCATTCCAAAGGAACTGCTGCATAGAGTTCGTTGGCAAAGGGGGCAAGACTTACTGGACAGCCGCGATTTAAGAACGATTGCAAAAGGAGCACGAGGGAAGCCAACAAAAACATGGAAATTTACGAATGTGAGATCATCGCTGAGCATCTCTAACCAGGAGTCAAGGTTCTCCTGCAAGAAATGCAGCCGAGATAGCCATTCCAGAGTTGGCCTAGTGAGCCATTGATGAAGCGTACCTCGCGAAGACGGAAGGGTGCCAGATCTAAAGAGTAGACGATGATACGTGAACAGTTTTAATACTTTAGTGGACTTGTTAAGTTCTCCTCACTTTTATACAGTACAGAATAAGTCAAATTATATTTAAGCACTGTATCACAGAGAGTGTTAATTTTGCTTTATGTAATTGTTAAAAAAAGTACTATATTTTGCAAGTACGTAGTTGCAAGCAATTTTTGTATTTTCTATGTCTGTACTTAAGAATTTATTTGCTATTTAGCAAACTCATCAACTGATTTTATCAGAGTAAAAAGATTTAATTAAGTTTGAGTGATTTTGGCATTGCGACATTTTTTATAAGCTAATGGTCTACAGATCTGGTTCAAGCACTCCGTCCTCTAGGTTTTTTAACATGTGGATGGCCAGTAAGTCATTACTTCATAATTGTTCGTTTTTATTTCTGTTATCAAGAGGATTCTTTTTTTCTTCATCTTCAACACAAGATTATGTTCATTTAGTCAGGGTAAATAACAATAAACAGAATAGATGTACCGGTACAAAGATTGGAAAGGAAACGGAGAAAGAACATGATCCTTAGACTGGCACTGGCCCGACAGAATGAAGGAAAGATTCTAATTATTCAATGATCTGTCTTGATCACAGGTGTCATAACTCAACTGCTGAGTAGACATACGAAGCATACAACTTTTGGATATAAAAACTTACATTTACATTAGCCAAAATATTTTGAGTAAAATTTAAAATTGTACACATCAAATTGTGTTATCCTTGCTCTTGCGCACTTATTTAATTTTGCATAAACCATAAATCTGACAACGTTGCAGATGAAATTTTATGAGATAAAAAAAACCCCCAAAAAGTTCAGTTATTTAACTTTAATTTTAGAAACAATTTGCACACAAATATAACATGAGACAATGGTAACGATAATAAAACTGACAAATCAATGATTTCATGAAGACATAAACTTATGCTTTGAATAATTGGTTGCACACTATTGCAAGCTTACATCAACAACCATCAACTAGGACAAAATCTCAAACTGAACCCAAGTGATCTGGTTCATGAACTCATTGTTCTTAAAATAACATCCTCTTTAAAGTTGTTCATTTATTATTTGTTAAATTTACCTAAATTTTGTCAGTTGATTAAACAATCAAATTTCCAGTACTTCTATCTTAATTTTTTTAAAAAAAGGTAAAATAAGATTACAAACATCTTTCTGGAAATATCACACAAATGCTTTACCAGAAAGACAGATGAACATCCTGGCATGGCTACTTTGTGCACTCAATAGCAACATCTGACATAACATAGTAGGAATCAAAACATCATCCACATCACATGAGTTCTATCTTAACGCTTGTAAACTTCAAATGCTACCACAGTTTCCCCATGTACTCTCTTCAGTCATCACACTGATCTAATGTTAGATAAGCATGGATCTGTCTAACAGAGAACATGGTGGGAATTTTGTTAATGTAGACATTCTATTGCCAAGAAAACTATTAATCCAATTTGGGAAATGCTCAACAATGCCTATTCAAGTGATGAGGAAAAAAAAAAACGCACAAATTATTAAGACTAATCAGTTTTGTTTAAAAAAACAAAAAGCAATCCGATGTGTGATTTATCCATAAAACCAATTAATGACAAAGCCATTGACACAATGCCGTTGGATTAAAACAGTCTTCAAACTATCAAACACAAAATAAAATGGTAATCATTTTTAAAATGCAATATTTTAAAACATGCCCCACCACCTCAGAGAAAACACATGCAGTGCATTCTCTGTCAAGACAAATTACAAAATTAGGTTTAAAATAAATGCCAAAAAACATTTTACCAGACTAGTCAAATCAGTCTTTTGCTTTTATTTAAAAATTTGTTTAAAATTGAACTCAAATTTTCAAAAAAATTCCCTATAGTAAATCTAATAAAGAATAATCAAATAAAAGAATAAGTTTTCCTGAAAATTGATATCTAATAAATTGTATCCATGTTAAAGTTAACATTAAGTTAAGTTTTAAAACTTGTTTCCAGTCTATAAACTTTTCAAATGACAATTTGAGCTTATAGTTGTAAGTTGCTTGTGCTCAGAAGAATGAGATGGAGACCTTAAACATTGTCATTCCAATGCCCTCAGTATAGAACACTAGGGGGCCCTACTAAGATGTGACTATGACTTGACAGATGACCATACTCATAACTCTCCAGCATTAGATTGTTGCTGGAAATATTCCTTGGATTTTTTAGGATCTGGGATAATCTGAAACAAAAATGACAAAAATAGAATTATTTTCAATATATCCAGTGAAGGATTTAATTCAGTTCAGGATAACGTCCAACCTGGTTAAGTTAGAGTATATCTTTTAACCCTTTTAGCAGCGTTTATGGCTTCCCAGTCATGTTACAGCTAAATCCAGCCACAAACAGCCTATTTTTAACATTGCCAGGTGAAGGCTGAACATTAAGAAGCTATTTATAAAGAGGAACTGTAAAGCTCTTCAACGAGGGTTTGGTGGCTATGCACTTGATTTTACTATATTTCCTTTTTTTTTAACATAGTTCTTTGTTGACAGCAGGTCTATGATTAACAGCGTTTGTCTTTCTAGAATCGCTTTATACTGTTAGTGTCCAAACTGATGAATTTAATGCAGAAATAGATGAAGAAATATATAATGGAAATAAAACTGATGTTATTATTGAATTATTTCAACATCATGATATCCCAGATGTGTCAAAAGATGAAGACGAAGTTGATAGATCTGAATAGTCTGACCAATAGCACTCAATTGAGATTGAAGAATTTGGTGTAGCTGGTCCTAATGTAGACTTATTTTATTAAAATTTCATATTTTCTCCACAATTATCAGTATTCTATGACTGGATGAAAGACTGCTTTTGAACAAATTTTGACTTTCAGCAACTTATGGTCATAATGTAGCTAATACATAGCACTGAAGGTTATTTCTTAATGTGGGTTAAGGTTCTTTGTTTAGGCTCAACCTTTACAAAGATAAAAATCGAAAATTAAATAATTAACAAAAATATAATATTATACTTTAGTTATTCTATGGTAAGAAGAAAATAAACATACAATGACAAGAACAATTTCAACCTTTCACTTGCCCTGGTCAAGATTTCAATCATTTATGTTTCTTGTAACTTTCACAAGATTGTTAAGATTTCACACACAGTTCATGAGACCTGACTACCGGTATATAACAATGTAACACTACTCCTAAAAATTGAAAAGTCTAGGTGAGACAAAGTTGCTCACCTGAACATTTTAACTTTCTAGGATATGGGGAAGTGGGTTAAAAATGGCTTTAGAAAAAGTTTCAACTGACAAAGACAACAAGTAGAGTCAATAATAATTAACTTACTGTGGCACTGCCAGGCTTCCATCCGGCCGGACACACCTCGCCGTGCTTATCTGTATATTGGAAAGCCTGCACTAGGCGCAGAGTCTCATCAACTGAACGACCTACTGGTAAATCGTTCATTGTGATCTGTCTCAATGTGCCTTTGGGATCAATGATAAACAAGCCCCTGAAATGAGCAGCAACATGTTGTTTTTTTTTAAATATAAATTATTGAATAAATAATGAAAATGAATACATTAGTGACAAATACAATGTATGTGTTACTCATCAATATACCTAAGGCTATGTCCTAAATCCTGTAGATAGACTCCATAGGCTTTGGAGATTTCATGAGTTATGTCTGACAACAGAGGGAAATTGATTTTACCCAGACCTCCTTGGTTCCTTGGCACATTGGTCCTGAGTGTGGGAATATAAAAATCATTATTATAAATCTTGTTAAAATGATCACTTTAAGTTTAAACACAGAAATCCAATTCTTATCTTTTTTTATTACAGTAGCTGTGAAAATAATTTAAATCATCTTCGGAATATTTAAATATAGTTGTGACAAATAGAAATAATCTCAGTCAAAACTAAAAAAAAAAAAAAATTAAACCCAATATACCTGTTAAATTCTATAAAGAAAAATCCAATATGCTTACCAAGCCAAATGAGTAAATTGTGAATCCACTGAACAAGCAACAACTTCAGTGTTGATCTTACGGAATTCATCCATACTGTCACTAAAAGCAATAATCTCAGTAGGGCACACAAATGTACTGAAAATAAAAAGAGGTTAAAATTATTTTTTTTTTAATCTTTCAGATTACAAAATTACCTTACAAACCAATTTCCCTATGAAGAGCTTGGAAAACTCAAAAATTTTGTTTTGGTATGATACCGATAAGGTATTGTCAAACAGGATCCTGCATGAATTTTAGTTTAACAAAAGACTTCCTTGGTAATCCTCACATCCTGGAAATATTGCTACACTGGGATGTCCATGGTACAAACTTTTATAATACAATTTTATTTTTTTTAAGTTTCAGATGCTCACAAATTGTTCCAAAGATAATCTAGTTAAGGTAAATTGGCTGAATAATTAACCCACTCCCCTATATCCTAGAAAGTTAAAATGTTTAACAACGGAATGAAAAACTGTACAGAAAAAAAAAAAGAAACTAGAAATAAGGATAATTTATAATTTTACATCACCTAATGATCAAAGTGTTGATTGTATGCAAACTTTGCCTTCTTGATAGGCCTCATTTTCAAGAAAAACATTTTAATTATGCCTGTTGTAGCAACACAAATTCCCGTTTTAGAATAATGAATGCAAATTCATTTCGATATTTCGTTTACCGTCAATTTAAAGCCAGATTTTTCACTGTAGTGGGGAAAAAGTCCTGTAACCAGTTGTTCTTTTTTTACCATAGGAACTTGGGATATAAAGAATTAATTGGAAGTTATAATTAGAATTACAAAAACTAATTTGTAAGCATTTTTTACTACTCAAATTCAAAATCGAGTGCCATCACTGTCATGAGCAAAACTATTTCTTTTCTAAATCCAGTGAAAAACCTTACAGAATCCTGTATGACTGTACAACTTGAAAAATGTGTTCAACCTGTACAAAGTAAGGGTAAACTGTACAGGTTGAAATGTATGGTATATTACAGCATATAATGCAATCCACATATAATGGGAGCATCTTAAGTTGTTTTTTTTAAATGCCATGTCCACATATAATGCAATCTGTTAATGTTGTTCCAAAGTAAAACAATACCCATTGACAAAATAAATACTTATTTATAATAAAAATGTCAAAATCCTTTAAAATAGTTTATTATTACAAGGAACTGTGATCATACAGATACAACTATCCAGTCCAAGAACTTAAATTACTGTCACTATGTCAGCAAGGTCATGCTGAAGGTCATATTAAACTGACTAAAACCATATGCCGACAGAATCATTGCTGAAGAACAGGCGGGCTTCAGACAAGTACAGGGCACCACTGAGCAGATCTAAACCTCCAAATACGATGTGAGAAATATGCTCAGCACCAACAAAACCTATACCACGTCTTTGTTGACTTCAAGAAAGCATTTGACAGGGTTTGGCATGCTGCTTTATGGGCCACCATTAGGCACTACAACATCAACACAAACCTAACCAGCATGATATGCAACCTCTATGATAAGGCCAACAGTGCAGTCTTCCTCAACAACAATATCGGAGAATGGTTCAAGACCACGGTTGGAGTACGTCAAGGCTGCCTGCTCTCCCCCACCCTATTCAACATCGTCCTAGAGAGAATTATGTCAGATGCTCTAGAAGCGCATGAAGGGACAATAAGCATTAGTGGCAGAACAATCACCAACCTACGCTTTGCGGACGACATAGATGTGCTGGCTGGGAACGAAGAAGAGCTAGCCAACCTGGTAAAGCGTCTCAATAAGACCTCGTCGTCCTACGGCATCCTAATCAGTGCCGAAAAGACAAAACTGATGACAAATAATACCGCAGGCATTACCACTGAAATTAAGGTCGGGGAGGAAAGATTAGAGACTGTCGGCAGCTTCAAATACCTAGGAGCAATAGTCTCAGAAGAAGGCTCCAAGCCCGAACTGATGTACTGGATTGCGCAGACTACAACAGCGCACTAAAGAAGCTCAAGAAAATATGGAATGACAAAAATATAGCCCCCAGCACCAAAATCAGGCTGATGCGCTCATTAGTCCTCTCCATTTTCCTGTATGCCTGTGAATCCTGGACATTAACAGCCGATCTTGAAAGGAAAATAAAGGCGATGGAGATGAGATGCTTCAGAAGCATTTTTGGCATCTGCTATAGGGACCATATCTCCAATGATACAGTGAAAGAAAGCGTTCGTCAGGCAATTGGGGAGTAGGATGACCTACTGGTGTCTTTGAAAAAACGCAAACTACAATGGTATGGCCACGTAACAAGGAAACAAGGGCATGCCAAAGAAATATTGCAGTGCACCACAAGAGGAGGGAGAAGAAGAGGAAGACAAAGAAAAATATGGGAGGATAACATCAAAGAGTGGACAGGACTAACACTGGGCGATGCAGTGCGTAGTGCTGAAGACAGAGAGGAATGGAGGAGGATGGTTCACATGTCATCTGTGGTGCCCCAACGGTCCAAGGTCTAAGGGACATGAGGATGATGGACAGAAACAATGCGCACTCAGTGCCGAATGCGAGTGGGCCAAGATTTGGTTGCATAGGCATAAATATATATAGTTTACAAGTAATGAAAACTATATTAAAAGCACTTATATATTAAAAGCACTTATAATACAAACCCCAATTTTTAATTAGCATTTTACCCTAAATTTATTGCACTATACGCTGCAATATATGGTAAATTAACTTTGTCCTGGGATTTCCAGGATTAGAGTGACTTTTGTCTTGTTTTCCCAGGATAAGCAAAAACTCCAGGACATGAGGAAACCTAACATTAAATTTAAAAAGGTTATAAATACAACATTTTTAATGATTAAATTACTCTCTATATTCAAGTTTTTACACATTCCATTCCTGAATTATGTTCATCAGAAATCAATATTTAAGATGTTAGTTATTCTAAAGATCTCTAGCTAAAATAATACAATCAAATTTTTCTTACAAATCAAGGGGGTAAAAGAAAAATACTAAGTATTTTCCCTTAAAATCAGACAACTTGATATCCTTGAACTCTCCATTGATGACGGCTGTTCCATTCCAGTCTGGGGCAGGCTTTGATACTATAGGAGAAAATGTTTTCTTTTAATTCACTTTGCTTTTAATTTTGTAATAATACTTTTTAAAAATAATTTTATTTTTCTTTAAAAATTTAAAAAGTAGATCTAAAAGGACCAGAAATCACTGCATGTGAGTCTTATATTGAGCATACTTTTTAGCCTACCCAATGACCTTGACAGACTATGCAAAGTAATTCAACACTAAGAGAGTGCAAAACAGTCAGCCATTTGCTTAATAAAATAATCCATATATCCATAGGTCTCACATTCAAAATACTTGCTTAACCAATAAATAGTTAAAAGTGTCTATTGGTAGCTTCCAGGGAGCTATTTGTAGCAAAGTCCAACAAATCAAATCAAACTAAAACCGGAACTTTAAAAACCGGCTTTTAATCACGCTGGCAAAGCATTGCCCTGATTTATTATTAGTTTGTACCAGTGACAACACCTTGGCTCGATGATGAATCCTGAAAGAATTTTAGCTTATTTTGATACTTTCAAACATTTGGAAAATACCTTCAAATCTTTAAAATCCAACTGAGGCTAAGAAATCATTTTATTGTAAACATTTTGTGTATGCAAAATGAATGATTAAAATTATTAATTAAATTATTTATTACATTAAATTATATGCCAAAATATATCTATATTTACCATTACATAATAATAGTTTTACTGCACACAAAGTGTGCATATTTTTTTAAAAAAAAATATTGTTTTTTTTTTTTACTTTTATTAAATGAAACGGTATAACAATATGATTTCGCTTAGAGTTAAAACAAAAACAAAGAAGCTTTGGCCATACTCTGTTGAGAACATGGTCACAGGACCACCTCCTGTTATTGATTTTCTGGTGGGAGTTAAGCCTACTGAGTAACACTTAAACACAATTAAAAAATTTCATTGGGTAACACAAATTAATTTAACCTCTATGAATCACCACTTACTATGTATTCTTTAATGCTTGCAGAATTTATGTATTTAACAGCATAGAATCCGATGAAAACATAAGCACCAATTCATAAATTATAAACAAAGAAAAATAAGTGTCTTTAAAATCTGATTTGATGGAGTGAATTAATGAGACAACACCAGACAGCTGTTTAAATGTCAGCACACGTTTTTTAGCAACATATTGGTGACGCAAACAGTCAGAATTTCACATACCTATTTAAGAGTGATTTCAGTGATTTAATTTTTAAAAATAGTTACTACCAAGACTGGCAATACTTGACTTAGTCAATTATCAAATACTGCACTGTTTTTTATAGTAAAATACCAATAGCTGCCTAGATGCTACTACTGCTGGTAGTAGAGTACCAAAAGTAAATAGCTCTTGTAGTTTACTACAAATAGCTGCAGCCTTGATAGTTATAGCTAGAATTACACACTGTGCACTTACTTAAACAGCAGATCTGGGTCACAAATTGACAAGCGCGGAAGTGGAGGCACATTGACATCATATCTAAAGATACTCAATTAATGCCTTTACTTTATAATATAAGTATAAAGCAAACTTTACTCAGTATCAGAACTACTACTAGTTCCTAAGACAAAGACCAATTAAGGGCACAAGCCTAGTCCTAAATTTAAATAACATAAACGAATGACAAATAGGCTCTAGTCCTATTTTAAACTATTTAAAAAAGATTAAGTTAAACAAAAATATAAAAAATAACAAACACTAAAACACAGATGAGTCACATGCTGAATGTCTCAGATTCAAATTTCAATAGACTATAACTATAGTATATTAGACTATACTATGCCCTAGTTAATGTGACAACGTGGGGAATTTTTGAAAACTTAAAACTAACTTCACTCTTGTGATACTATCAGTATCATCACCAACTTGACTAAATGAGCAATAAACAGAAGTAGTGACTTGAAGTAGAAGAAGCTTTTAACTTGGGCTATTATTTGTCTGTTGGCCTACATTCTACTTGAGGACGTGATGGGTGACATTCATTATTATTAATAATGGTGACTCAACTCACTACTCACATTCATTCGAGGAGTGATAATTTACAAGTACTATTAGCTGTGTACTGTGTAAAGTAAGTCTTCCCTATTTATGCTATTTTGTGGGCCTGTACTCTGTATCAAGAAGTAAGTGTAACGTAACCATTACTTACTCACGGCTTGGCTCCACTGGATTGTGTGCCCACTTGTGCGTTTAGTCTCTTGTGGGTAAACCTGTCCACCAGCAAAAGAATGACATGTATCATCTGGAACTTGACTGTGCACTATTATGGAACATAGTGATAGTAAAAGTAAAACCCCGGCACTTGAATAGGAAGACATCTTATTTTACACGTTTTGTTGTCAAGTAAAGATAAATATAGGTTGATTTCGAAAATAAATCTTTTTTGTCAAGGGGCTATATCTAAATTTCTTAGTTTTTTTACATTTTTATTTTAAATATTTCAGACAACCAACAAGTAATTATTATTATTTTTAGAAATGAAGAAATTCCTTTTGAACTTGAAGTTTATAATACGAAACTAAAAATATCATAGCTTCTTGATAACCATTTCCTTGACACCAAGTCTGTAAACATTATGGACGACAATCGCCAGGAGAAATTAAAATTTATTTGAAAATACCTGTTTAAATTTAATACTGTTAAATGTCAATGTACCGTGTGAATTTTAAGATGGATTAATTAGATATCCAATACAGTGGTTAGTAATTTTTCACCCCCTTTTTCTTCTGTTTATAATGTGGTTAGCATTGCAAAGCAATCGAATGTAACATGACATAATAATTATGCAGAGATCGGACACATGACATGCCATTCGACTCTTTTAATTCATTGGTTTAGGAAGTGGGATATTGAATACAGTGGTCAATAATTTTTCAGCCCCTTTTTCTACTGTTTATATTGTGGTTAGCAATGGAAAGCAATCGAATGTAACAGTAACATGACATTACGTTACATAATAATTATGCAGAGATTGGACGCATGACATTCGACTCTGACTCTTTGTATTCATTGGTTTAAGAAGTGGGATATTGAATACAGTGGTTATTAATTGTTCAACCCCTTTTTATTCTGTTTACAATGTGGTTAACAATGCAAAGCAATTGAATGTAACGTGACATAATAATTATGCAGAGATCGGACACATGACATTCAACTCTTTGTGTTCAGTGGTGTAGAAACTGGGATGCGGCATGGCTGGTCAGCCCCGAGTGAAACTTTTTCTTCATATTGAGGGGCAGCATTTTCTTCTTTACATTGAGGGGCGGCATTTTGCCAGCGGCAGAATTTGTTTGTTTTGGTGTAAAAATGGGGGGGAGGGGGGGCGGCAAAAAGCTCTGCTTGCCCTGATGACCCTGGATACACCACTGGTTGTAATAAGTTAAAGTAAGCCTATAAGACCAGGCCCTCTTTAAAATTTACTTTACAATTACAAATAAGATTTTACCACATAATTTTAAAATTTACTTTAATTATAATTTTCCATAAAACTGACTGAAATTCTTATTCTTACTCATCCACTGTTACTCAGTACTCTATTTTCTTTTATGGTCATGACTAACTAGAATTTCTATTAGAAGTAGAATGGTACCTTCTGGAAAATACCCAGCTAGTCTGACATGTGAGAGATATTTCACAACATTTAACTCTTTTGCTGCGGTGCAATGCACAGTAAGTTCATCTGCCATGCTAAAAAGCACAAACCATCACACTGTGCTTTGTTTCAATATCATGGTTGTTTATCTGTTATTTCTCTGTTGAACTTTTTAAGAGCTATTTTTTAATTAGACTTTTACATAGAAGAATTGTACTTCATTGTTTATGAACGACAGCAAGGTTTATTTGTTTTCATTTGAAGCATTATTTTATTGATATTCTTCATTGGTTTTTTTTTCGTTTATCAATACTGTTGTTACGGCTACCCTGGGCCCTAGTGGGGTGAATAAGTTTCCTACATGATTAACAGCTCAAAAGGCTTTGGAAATGTTGTATACTATTTCTATTAATTGTGAAATTGCTTTAGATTTAGATCCATCGCATGATTCTGATAGTAGTAGACTACTATGTAGTTTTAGATGATTTGAGTTATAACAGTGAAGATAATGTATGCTTACATCAAAGTGTTTGGAGGAAAATTGGTTTTGCATATCAAGTTTTCACATTTTAAGTTTCTTTTCTGTTACTTATTTTAGTTAAACTGAAGAAATAAGTTTACAAACATATAATATAATCATTCAATTATCTTTCATTTGATACCAAATTTAACCTTATAAACCAAGCAATAATATTTTAATTATGTTTTAATAAACCCAACCTTTCACTATTTTTTGCTCGTTGAAAAAAATGTACATTTTTAAATTTAAAAAAATTCCGCAGCGAAAGAGTTACTTGGGATGTGTTGTTTGTTTTATTGTTTTTTTCTTCTTCTTTCATCAATATGGCTTCAATTATTAGCAAGTGTCTTTGAGGTATTGGTTGATACTAACAGTTGGATTAAGGCATACTTCAAAGTTAATGTTAATGAATGTGCTTTGTTAGCATTGAATTTGACCATTTAATTAGTCTATGTAAAATTATGCAGGGGATGTTATCGTTGTTATGAAATGAATAACATATTAATGTGTATATTATTGTGTAGTCTTCACAGCCGTGCCTGCCCCTATCACCTGTCTCAACTCCCATCCCTTCTCCAAAACTCTACCTTCCATCTCCCCCTACAACCAGACCTCACCTCTCCACCCGTGTCTCCCATCCCCACACCAGCTCCACAATCCCTAGAACGATGTTTTCTGCTTCACATATGTTTTTATACCCCACAAATTGATCAATATCTTTTGTTAGCCCTCTAAACGTTCAGCCAAATTCCACCTCCCTTCTCTCATCCTCAAATATTTCCAAACCCCAATTTTCATACCTTATTTCTCTACCAGCTTCTCCTTCACTTCCCCCTGCCCTATTGTTTGCCAAACTTTTTTTCCCCAAACATCAGCTGAGTTTCTAAAAATTATTGTCCCTTTCAATTTTGCTGCCTGTTTAAGCGTTAAGGTTCAATTTGTAAAATAAAACGTACAATAAGTGAAATATATTTTGTATAGCAGTATGTGAAAAACAAGGGAACTGGCTAACTTTTTAAAAAGTTTACTGTCTAACATTGCCCCATCAAATTTTTTTAAACATAAGTAAATTTCTTATCTAAGAGACTAAATGCCCCTACATAATCTAATTGTCCCTTGTGTATGCCCCATGTTGGGAAGCACTGCTTTACCCTAACCATGCGTTAGAGCTATTTACATAATGTACATAAGTTATTAATGTTCTATTTAATCAATGTTGAGCATGGTAAAATAGAAAAGAAACAAATGAATAAGATAAGATTCTTTATTGAAACAAAATAATAGAAATAGTTCTTTTTTAAATTGTACATATTTATTTTCAGCACATAAATAAATACATATTTTAACCAAGACAACATTTCAGAATTATAATAATTTAAACGCCGGACAGCTAAAATAGAAATCAGCCATTAATGAACTCCTTAAGTGACAATAATTACTTACTTAGTCATCATTTAGATTTGGTAACTGGTGGGTGAGCACACTGATAAATTTATACAGACTGGGGAACAAAAGACTTTACAAAGTTCTAGTGTCCCAAAAGTTGCTGTTAACCAAGAAATCTTGGTTCGTTGCAGTGAAATTCATTAGTGAATATTTTAGAGTAGTCTGGAATAAATATTTTTACATTACTTACCCAAAATGTTAGCAAGACAAGCTTGTTCACTACCACTAAATCACATAAGACTTTATATCAAACAATAAATATACATTAAAGCTGCTCTTTGCTAGTTCAAGAGGTCAAGACTACAGTTGTGTCAAATGTTAGTTTAAATGTATTCGCAATGCATACAGTGCCATGGTGTTTTTTGTTAGTGAATTGACCTTGTTGAAAAATTAATTTTTTTTTCTAATTACTTCCATTACTTCCATTTTAGACTGCATGTTTGGTTTTCTGATGATTTATTTTCCAGTCTCAGAAATCATATCTAGGATAGAAAATATAAGATAAGATAAGATTATTTTATTGATCCAAATAAATGGAAATGTTTTTTGACTGCATTATACATTTTCAGCACATAAATAAAACAATTTGAACGCAAGACATTTATAATAAATTATTTCCAACAACCGTTCAGTGAGTTCTCTTAGCTAAATTGGAGACTTATTAGTTCTCATGAAGATGTGTGACTGCAGAGGGTGCACGCCGTTAAATTCATACAGATTTTGGAACAAAAGAATTATTATATCTTTCAGTCCTCGCCCTGATGGAAAGAATTCGTCCCAAATGGTCTGATCCTAAGTATTTGTGGTGAAGAAGGGCCTATCATCCAAAATGTATTTAGTTTTACAAAAACATCTTTCTTCAAATAGTTTTTCAAGTGAAGAATGTTTAGTTTGTTTTATGTTCCTAGCTTTCTTGATTAGTTGGTTTATGCAGTGTTTAATATCAGATGTTGAATTCCCACGCCAGCAGGTAATACTGAAATTAACTAGGCCTTTTTGGAATGCAAATTATAAGTGGCTTTATAGTGTTGATGCCTGCGGGTCGTGTGTCTCCCCCCCCCCCCCCCCCCATGGAAAGGAAACTTCTGTTTTGGATTTAAAAATTAATAGATCTAAAATTTATGATGCTGTTGGGAATTTTTGAGACTGGCTAACCCCATTGGCCTCTCATTTCATTTGAGGGGAGGTTATCCGTATTCACCGTTATGAAGGTGGGAGACAGACCCAGTGTTAGCCTTCTGTGTAAGCACTAGGCAAAAGAGTCACCACTTTGTTAACCTTATTATTTTCTCACCTGATGGTAAAATAAAAACAATCACAGGGTCTAGAATTCTGACTCTACTTAATTTGACAAATATATCAAAATGGCTTTTACTACTTATCTATTCCTAGACTATAAGAACCCCTGCAAATGACCAAATGAACAGTGTTGGCTACTCACTCCTAAATGTTAATGCAGCCTTGATGCTTTAGAAGCTATTGATAATTTGTTTCAATAGAAATTTTGTTGATAGTGTAAATTGTCAGAAAATTACACAAGGCTTGGCTTTTTACAAATATTGAACATGTGGTAGAATTTTATTCCAGTCCTTTTAATTGTAAAAATTATCATTTGGCTGATGTATTTTATTTACCATATGTTCTTATCCTTGTACTATCATCCAAACTGAGAAATGTACAGGACTCAGGACTGTTATAATTGTTGATGCCTCTCTCTTCAGTTATTTACATTGGTTTTCTTGGCTTATTTCAAAATATCTTTTATTGAGTCAATCCTGCTTGAATTAAGCCTGTTTGGCTCGACCATCAAGGTGTTGACATTGACAGAGTACATCTGAATTGGGTCCAATATTTGACTAGTTCCCCTGTGTGTCCTATTGATCCTGTGTTTACATTTCCTTTTCAACACTGTCCTGTGAGACTATCACCCAGCAAAAAAAATCATTAAACAGCTTTGGTCCATCCAATGGATGGGATTCACTGTCACTGTGTGACCTGTTGCTAGGAAACGCGTGTGTTATTGTTAAAGTTGATTGCCACAGTCCTGAGAAAATGGTTTCTGGTGTGGTGTTCAAGTGCTGAGGGAATAGGCAACTTCTCTTATTGTGTTTATACAATAGTTGCAAGAGAATATTTTTTTTTAAAGATTGTATGTTTCTTTGTTTTTACAATTTTAAATAGGCATATTTAATTTATGAACTAGTTTGTAGAATAGAAGTTTGATGGTGGAGAGTACACTCAGTATAACTTGCATTTATAAAAATTGTTAAAAAGTAATCAGTGCATTTTTAATTTAAAAATTAAGTTTGTTTTTTCTAACAACTTTTGCAGTTTGTAAATATTTGTTAAAATATAGGCTTTGTAATTTTCATATTTTGTGGAAAGATAATGGACATTATTTTATTTTAGCTAATAGTCTGCTTTCTTCCACTCAGAATTTGCTATGGAGACTGTAGCCTTGGAAAACGACAACAAAAATATAAAAAATGTGGAGATTTATCCATCCTATGAAGATGACTTTGAGAAAGACTCAGACACCTTTACCAAAGACTCATCATCACATAAAGTAGGTTTAGCATTTCCTCATTACTTATAATTATAACTAAAAGTTTAGTATAAAATGTAATGAAAAGCAATATTAAAAATAAAAAAGACACTGGCTTGTTTTGAATTGCGGCAATGGTTCCCTATAGGAAAATATTTTTTGTTTTAGTTGCATAATTCAAGAATTTTTCAGATCACTAGTGTTGAAAAATTATGTGCATTAAAACAAGGAATAGTGTTTGGTTATTATTTTATTTACATATAGGCCTATAAAGTGTCTGTGGTAATGATTTTATTTTCTTTTAAAGAGAAAATGTTTTTTGTTTCCCCCCCCCCCCCCCCTTTAACAAGATATAGGTCACATTTGCTTATACATGTATCATGTACTTTGATACGTCTCTTTTGGTATTTAGGGAAAGTGAAATGATGTGTCATATTTTCTTCTCATGTAACGCATGTATAAATGAAATGGAAATCCTTTTCATAAAATTTTTTCTCCTATTCTTAATTGACATAGGTGAGCTCAGACGATGACCAGGATATTATTGCTCCTCCCCATATAAAGGCAAGTCCTCCTCCTCCGCTTTTGATAGAAAAAGAGGAGAAGGAGGTAGAGAAGGGACAACTGGAGGTCAATCATGGGAAACCAGAGGCTCGGGGCAAGGAGAGGTCACTGGACGAACCATCTGACAGTGAGCCAGAAAATGATGCATATAATTTTACAGAGGACCAGCAGCGAGCAATGATGGAATTGATGGTACAAAAACAGGAAGATGGCGATTTAATTGGTAGGTGAAGGATAAATAGGGGAAGGGGCAGCCGGTGTGTTGAGTCATAACTGTGAGGTGACATGAACTTTCTGGGTGGAAAAGTGTTCTTACTGTTAGATTAAAAAATGGATGATTAAATTGAAGAAAAATTGTGTCCAAGTAAATTGATGATGTCATATGTCATTTGTCCCTTTATTTTTTTTGTAATGTTCAATTTCATATCTTTAAATATTTTTTAGAAATCTGAGACTTAATCCTAGGCAGAAATTCCCCAAATTAACAATAGTTTTAGATTCTATAACTACTGTCCAGATTTTAAATGGTATCAGAAACAGAAGATTAATGTTGCGAAAAGTCTGGTTCCATTTCATTGCATTTAAACCACAGAAATAATCTTAAGACGGTCTTGATTAAGTGTTTTAGAGTTTTTAATAACAAAAAGTAAGTTTAGAAATATAACTCAATCATAACATCTGTTTCTAACACAAATTAGATGAAGAGCCTCCCGAGTACAATGTCAAAGGTCGACTGGAGCAGCTAAATGCTGAACTGGCCAAAGAACCCACCCCGTTGGAGAAAGAGAGGGAGACAAGGGTGGGGTTCAAACCTGAAATTGTTGACCTTGTGGCTCCCCCACCACCTGACTTCAGTGACGATGACTCCCGACCCAACAGTGCCAGGGGTCAGGAGGCCACTCCTAGTACAACGCAAAATGGCAACCACCAAAACAAAGATAGTGACGAACATGTTAAAGACAATAGCAAACAGCAATATGTTGTTGAAAGGGACGGAAATTTCTATGTGCTTAGTGCCGATGAGTTGACACCATCAGAACGGGCAATGCTCTTAAACGATGATTCAAAAGTGAAGAAGGTCAGGTATCCAAGTGACAATAAAAAAAAAAGTGAAAATCCACAATTAGTTAGTAAGAGCAATAATGTTGAATCAGAACAGATTGTTCCACAACCTCCCCCACGTCCTAGGCCGAAAACAGCGGCAAATGGACCACGACGGAATGTGATGAAGCCATCAGCTCGCCCGAAGTCAGCAAATAATCCTAACGATGAAACATCCAATAATGTTGATAACTTCAACTACAAATCTCCCTATGCCATGACTCCTGCGCAGAAGGAAGAGGCCAAGAGAGAAGCTCAAAAGCAGGAAGAGAAGAAGTTGAAGAAAGAGAGAAAAAAACAAGAGGAGGAGGAAGAACGAAGGAAAGAGAGCATGGACGCCTTCCAGGCCTGGCTGGATAAGAAAAAAGAAGAGAAAAAGAAGAAAGGAAATGAAGAAAATAGTTTACAGTCGGAACAAGAGCGGGTAAGTTGTCATTTCAATTGCCCCCGTGAGAAATGATGAATTACCCCAAATGATTTATTCATTAAAAACAAGTATTATCCATTTAATAAATATTTAACTTCTGTCTTCATAAAAAAGGCATCAATAAAACTACTTACTAAAATATGAATTGATTATGTTTCTGGACGAATCTTTAACAAAGATATCTGCTATTTCCCTAAACATTAGCGCCCCCCACCCCCTTACAGATAATCGTCTGAGGTCTTTTTTTTTTTTCTTTCTTTTTTTTTAAATGCTTGTTATGGCCTTGGACAAACATATTTTTTAGAAATTAATTCATATTAAAAATTATAAAAGAACAATAGTGAGTGCATTTGTTAACACTCTCTGTTGAATGCCTTTCTTATTAGCAACAAAGAATAATTTACTTTGAATTATAATCCTTTCGAAAAAAAATGGTGTGTGCTAGAAACAATCTGGGTTGATCTTCAGTGGCATTATCTAACTTGTTGTCTTGGTGCAGTGAATTGTACTTGACTAACATAAATGTATAGACGTTTTGTTCTTCCATAAAAAATTGAATAGACAAAGAACAGGGAATCTGTCTCCAGCCAAAATGAAAGTTTTGATTCATTTGAAGTGATCTACCCTTATTTGCTGCGCCAGGCTCCGGTACTGTAATCGGTGGAAATTATACTGAATATTTTGCATATATAGCCTACCTGCTTTAGTAATTTTATTTTATTACCCTTTTTCTAATCTTTTGGTCAATCCCACTAGAAGGACTGCGGGAATTATAGATGTTAGCACTTCCTGTGCACATTCCTAACGGATTTCGTTACATGTTGTCTTTCTAATAGACTGGAGTAATTGCTCAATAGATTAGCTGGAAGGGTGTTGTTAAAAATAACACTTTTTAATACATATAATTATACTGTGTTTTAGTCTTAAAAAGACATAAATTGTTCAAGAGGCCATTTATAATATACTGAGCTAATCCTTTGACCAGTTTTTTGGCTCAATGTAACTTGTAAAACAAACATCGCAATCAACTACTGCCATCTCTCTTGATCACTATCTGTAAATTGATAAAACTTGTTTTAAAATTGTCTACATTTTTCAAAATTAAACATTTACTTATTTAAGGTTCAACCCCATTGTTTGTATTCCAGAGCAATAATCCCTGTATTACAGAGCAATTATCCCTCTTACATCATAAGATGCTTTTTTTACCCTGCTATTTTCCATCCACAGTAAAATAAAAAAAAGTAATCTATTTATTTTATTTATAATTTTTCCAAAAAAAGTTTCTTATAACTTAAAGTCTGAGCACTGCAGGGAGCATTTGAACCCCAACTGTAACCACACTCCCACCACCGCCTTCCCTTTCTCTACACAGTTGATGAGTCCATATGGAGCTGTCATTGTTTTTTTTCTTTTCTTTTTTACTTTCCTTACTTCTCCCTGCAAGGTCCAGATAACCAGAGTTTTAAAAATACTTTGGAACATCAGAGATAATATTAGAAATTTAGAAATAATATTTCTGATAGCTGGAACTTTAAAACTTTAACTGCTGCTTATTGATTGGAGACTTTTCTCCACATATAAATTTTGTGTTGAAATATTCAAATAGAAGATTGAAGATCTTCAAATTAAATAAACAATGAAAGAAAAATTATGATTGATAACTCAGACATCTTACTTCTGCAACTTTTTCTATGTTGAAGCTTTATTTACATTGAAATGAAGTTAAAATTAAGTAGCAAGTAATTTCTAACACCATATTTAAATTACACATGTTGTTTTTTGCACTCTTATAAATCCAGATATTCCCCGCACCGCTTGTTAAATATTTATGTTATGATAATCAGGGCTTTTTAATCAACTTAAAAAGAGATTGCATTAACACGCATCCTTTTGTAATAGAAAAAAAATAGACACCCCAAGAAATGTACTTAAGAAAGTTACATTTAAAGACAGAAAATTACTGTTTAATTAAGCCCATTTCATGTTAGAAATTCAAACCCATGTTTAGTAGCGTATATATTATCAATTTCTGTTGTGTTTTTATTTGTTCTGAAGTAATAAATGCACAGTCCTCTTAAATACATTCTTTTCCATTGTTTGATAAAGACTAGAAAAAAAATTACAAATATTACCTACATTTGTGGCTCACCATTGGGAACCTGAGGCTCTAATAGAGGCTAGAGGATATTAGATGTTATATTTAGAACACATTGAACAATTGCACCACATACGACAGCATTGGGTTGCTTCATTAATTGTCTGCACACAAAAAAAAGGTATCTGTGAAGGTTGGATGTAGAAAACTAGGGAAGGTAACCGCACATTCAACTAATCAGATTAGTATTACAGTTATATTCTACAACATCTTTGCATTTATTAAGATATTTAAAAAGAATTAACAAATATATTTTGCATGGCTTGCATGTATTTTATTTTTCAGCTTTTTAGTTGCAATGTGGGCGAAACTTTTCAATGAAATGATTTGAAACAATCGATGCCTGTAATTCCTTAACACTGCACCTACTTTGTAGAAACTCAACAGAAACTCAATATTAAATGCTACTTGTTATATCTTATTGTTACAATATGACATCAATTTCTTTTGTTGCTTGAAGAGATTTGTTGTGCATAGTAATCCAAAAACATTTTTAGAAAGGCTCTTTGGGCTATGTTGATACTTTTATGAAGGATAATTTTTTAATGAAATTACATCAGTTATGAAATTAGTCTCATCATATGACAGTGATTTATTTATCCATAATATATTTTATGAATCATTTTTGTTTAGTAGATTTTATTTTAATTTAAATTTGAAAAAGAAAATGTTATTTTCGTCACAAATATTACAATAGTAGTATGACGTAATTATACACAAAATAAAATACTTTTGAAAATAGATGAGTGTTTTGTAAACATTGAATATTTGTTTTTCAGCAAGAAGAAAATGAAAAAGCGTATAAAACCTGGCTGAAAGAAAAACGAACTCAGGGAAAAAGAGAAAAATTGTTAAAGAAAAGACAGCAACAAGATCAGATGGAAGGTTACTTTATCCGCTCCAAGGAAGAATGTGAGAGAGCATTCAACGAGTAAGACTTTTGACCTGTTCATGTTTATAAGTTTCATTTTAAATTGATAAATTTGAAGAAAAAAAATGGTTCAAATTAAAAAAACATTTCATATATGCTATTAATTTATTGGTTTTAATGTTTGGATAATTTTGGATACTTGTATGAGCTAAAGTTTGGTAATAAATTAGTGTTAAAAGACTTGTCGACATTTACATCATTATTGTCATGTACTTGATGAGATTGTTACCTAGGAGCAATAATATGAATAATATTATGAATTATTATTTCATATCATGTTTGGTTAAACAATGCCTATTTCCATGAGTGTTTTGCCTATCCTAATGAGTATGTTAGCTTTACAAATTTCAATATGGGTTTATCAAAAAACAATTAAAACTTGCATTTCCACAGATGGCTGAAAAAGAAAAAGGTTGAAAGTAAAATGCAACATGCCATGGAAAAGCAGAAAATCCGGGCTTATAAGATTCATATGAGAAGGTCCAAGAAAACACAAGCTCTGCTTAAAGCTTTGAAAGAAGCTGAGGGAAGCCAGTACTTAGATTACTATGGTTACAGATACTAGAGCAAGTTCATTGGTCCTATGGATCTAATGTGCTGAGTGATTTAAAGGTTTGCAAGAAGCTGAGGGAAGCCAGTACTTAGATTACTATGGTTACAGATACTAGAACTAATTCATTGGTCATAATGGATCTAAGTCTAAGATGCTGAGTGATTACAGATGACAATAGTATATTTTGTACCATAATGCAGGCTGACTTAATAATAGTTAACTATTTGATCCAAAGTTCATTATTTGATCCAAAGTTCACTATTTGATTTAAAGCTTTTCATAGAGTTTATTTATCGTAAAAGAAAGATTAACCTTATTACCACAGATAGGATTGCATCCCACATGCCAAGAGCTATTCAGACATACTTACTGGATCACTCAATATTGTATGCAGCAATAAAAATCGTATGAGCTCAAAATTTCACCACAAAAATGTGAGAAAGTCTTGTGTCAATGTGGTAATTAAATATTCATAATTTAAATAAAAAATTTGTTTTTAAAAATCTAATGCAGGGGGCTGCAACCTACTGCCCACTTGCCAGACTTGGCATGCAAAATGATTTTCATTGGCATGTGGAAGACCAAAAAAATATGAATAAATGACTAAAAAATATACATTAAATAGTAAACGCCTAAGTTATCGCCATACTGAATGAATTACAAATCTTACCTTTGCACGCTAATACCAAAAGGTTGTAGACCCCTGATGTAATCTATTTAAAATCTAAGGAGAGCTCTTATTTTTTAAGACATGGCACCTTTTATTGTGGTAGCTTGGTGGTATTTTTAAAATTCTATGAAATCAAACTTCTGTGATAACAAAATGACACTGCCAAGATAACCATTTCTGATTTTTTTAAATAGAAATATTGTTAACATCATTTCTGATATAATCAGGTTTATTTATTTGTATACATATAAGGCTTCTGTAATGATACTTAAATACAGCTCTACATAATTAGAAATGGGGCAGCCTTTGGGACATAAGAGAAAGAATTAGTAAGGGCCGCAAGACCTTGGAATGGGGAGAAATTCTAATATTTATTTTTTCAAAAGGGTGAAGGTTTAAAGCACTTATTAAATTTTGAAATAATTATCTATCTTAAAATTGATATACATGTATTCAATTAAATTTTCTTTTCTTAGCAGAACAAATGGTAGACTTAATTAAAAGGATGGGAAAGCTATATTGTCAAATAATAAATTTACCAAATGATTGACTGAATCATTTCTTTTTTTTTTTAAATTTTGAAATTTCTCAGCTTAAATCAAATTTTAGAGAGCCCTGTTAGACATCTATTTATTAATTTTACTACAAATCTATTCAATAGTTTTAATACAAAGTAATAATGAGGTCCCTACAATTTCATCAAAGGAATTTTTAAACTATTCAATGGTGTCATGTAGCATTTATTATAGCGCCACCTTTCTTATTATATCTCTATTTGAAAAAAATTATTATATTGACACATATGTGTATGTTACACAGACAAGTTATGTTTATGACTGTTTTTTGAAATTTTATATACATTTACCATGTATGCTATATTGATGCCATGTAAAGGAAATGACAAAACAAAATCAAAAGATATTTGTATTTGTTGTACACTTGCTTTAATCATGTTTTTACTATGTAACAATAAACATATGTGACAATAATTATAGGCCTACTTGGTCTATTTCTCTCTGGTCTTTGTTATTATTTTTTGTTTATTTTGTGAGTGTTAACTGGCAAAGAGTTAACACATTTTTTTTCAGAAGGGGAGACAAAAATAAAAGCATCAGAACTCATGGACCGATTCCAAGATGGACAAAAGGGAAAAATGAAATTTAATCCCAAAATCTTGTTTCTAAATGATCTCTAAAAGTGAAAACTAAGATTTCATGTCTTCCCAGTTATATCCCAATGCATGGAAAATAACATTGCCTTCGCTACTTACTTTTATTTGGAAGATTACGATACTTATTGCCACGGAGTCTATCAAAGTGCCAACTAAGTTGAGTAATTTTGTAATAATAAAATTGAATAATAAATATAATGATATTCATGACCTTGTTTGTGTTTGGGGGTACCACAGTGTTTTTCCTCATTATTTTATTCTTGCCAAAAATAACCACTCTACTCATATCTAATCATGCCCATGACAATTTTATCATAGTTGCATGTTAATTAAGTTAAACTTAAATAAGATTTGTCAGATTCATTATATGGTTTAGAATAAAAAATCAATTTGATTAGTGCCAACAAATATACATTTATCTATTATGTTATTTGTATTTATTTTTTGACCAAGTACCTCAAGTCACAATTATATTTTTTAGAGGAAACATGTTTTTTTCTTGACAGTGCAGCTGAGGAAAAACATAAAATTAATTAATATGATATTCCTTCATTGATGAAAGAAAATTCTTTAATTAATTAAATATGATACTCCTTGATTGATGAAAGTAAATTCTTAATTAATTAATATGATATTCCTTCATTGATGAAAGTAATTTTTTTATTTCTACATAGACTCTCAAACAAGAAATTGTTAAAATTATTAAAGGCCTTTCAATGTGTTATTTAATCATTATATTTTTTTTGTGACTTGTAATAACATGTACAAATTTATTACTGTGTCTTAGAAAATTAAACTATTCAAAAGTTGCACTGTGAAATTTCAGTCCTGAAACAGAACAGTCAGTTATCTTTTACGATATGTACTCAAAAGTTTTTAAAGAAAATTCTCTTTACATTCTGTCAACATTTCTAGACCTTTTCTGAAATGTACACCATTCCAGGGTTTTATCATTGCAGAATTAAAAATAACCAATCATTTGAAACAACAATTAAATATTTTCATCCTATCATTTCATTCACCTGTGTCATCACTGGCAAGTTGAGTAGCTTTGTAGTGAATTATTGTTGTGAAAATATTTCAATATTGACAATCATTTAATTTTCACTATGCATAACTACTGTATTTTAATTTTATACATCATGAATGCAACAATCCATCAAAGATTCTTACTTAATTTGCTAGTTGCATTTTTAAAACAAAGTTTGGACATTTTGTTTGCTGTTTGCAGTTAACTCATAATTTGAGAGCCTTGATTTGGAAGTGATCTTCACAAATTTGTGAGCCTTGATTTTGAAGTGATCTTCACAAATTTGAAAGCCTTGATTTGGAAGTGATCTTCACAAATTTGAAAGCCTTGATTTGGAAGTGATCTTCACAAATTTGAAAGCCTTGATTTGGAAGTGATCTTCACAAATTTGAAAGCCTGGATTTGGAAGTGATCTTCACAAATTTGAAAGCCTTTATTTGGAAGTGATCTTCACAAATTTGAAAGCCTTGATTTGGAAGTGATCTTCACAAATTTGAAAGCCTTGATTTGGAAGTGATCTTCACAAATTTGAAAGCCTTGATTTGGAAGTGATCTTCACAAATTTGAAAGCCTTGATTTGGATGTGATCTTCACAAATTTGAGAGCCTTGCTTTGGAAGTGATTTTCACAAATTTGAGAGCTTTGATTTGGAAATGATTTTCACAAACACTGATAATTTTTTTAAAATAAATTCATTTCTACTTGGACATTTAAAATTACTATTTGTTTTTAAGCTATACAAATTCTTCATTTGTTTATCCTATCAGTCTCAGCATGTTTTACCTTCATATTCCTAGTCCGACTAATGCACTATAAAGGATTTTACACCCTAAATATTTTTCCTACACCTGACAAAAAAAGGATGTGAGCACATTTTTCTTCTCTCTTGCTGCGCTCAAGTTACAAATAAACATAATAATATCCTTTAAAAAAATTTTTTTTAATCTTCCTTTTCATTAAATTTTAGTAGCTCATTTCTGCTTTAAATGATACAAATGTTCAATGCTGTAATGTTTTCTTTAAGAAAATATCCATTCCTTTATTTATTTTTTAGGAATTTTTAAAACTGCAATTTCTTTAAAATAAAATGTATATTAGCAATGAATTAAAAATGTGAACTTAAGATTGGTTTGACTTTGTTTTGTTTTAAAGTTTCAAACATGTTTTTTCCACATTTTGTCATTAGTGGTGATTTTCATGGAAAGACGGCCATTATTTAAAATCATCACTCTTTAGAGGAATAGTGTAAAAATATACAAATAAAAGCTCCAAATTTTTCTACAGAATATATTTAATATATATATTTATATATATATATATATTTTTATATATATATATATATTCAGAAGGGAAGGGTGAGATATAAGATATACACATACCTACAAGCTCACCGTAACCCACCCTCCCCCCTAACCGGATGACTCAATGGTCCTAGTTGATTTCGACAGACGAACAACAACATTCATTCATATATATACATATGTATGAGATTTATTTTTTCTTAAATAAAATTAATTATTCAAACCCTAAACTTTTAAGATGCAACTGAAGTTAATTTTTTTTTTCTTAAGATAACATTTTTCGTATAAATCCTTTGTACAATTTAATATTGAGCAAAGTGGGGTGGGACTGAAAATTTGACAAAACATGCATTTAAATCATGCACTTTATAAGAATCTTACATTAATGAGTTTATGTGCCAAGTTTCAGCTCGACAGGTTGACGGGAAGTGGGCCAATTAGCGGTCCCAAGATTTTGCCACACACCCAGGAATGAACACACCAACAAAAACAAAGTTAATATAAAGAATTTAAAAAAAGCATCCTGAAACCCAAACGGCCTGTGAAATCAATAAACATTTTAATAAACTGCCAACAGTAAAACACAAAAAAAACACCAGTCTAGCCACTGGTACATTTTTAAAAACTTACATGAAATCGTTAACACATAAAGAAATTCACAGCAGAGGAAAATTTAAATATAAATGTATAAAATAGTAGACCACTAAGCATCATTTCTGTAAAACCAATGAAACAAGGGGCCACCGAGCACTAGCCTTTGAATACAACACACAGGTATGAGAATATCTATAATTTGTTCTTATAACTGTTCAGCTTTTCAATTTAAATACAAAATATAATTTTTTCGCTAGCTCATTTAATTCACAGCCGAGTCATGGGTAGCTAACCACACAGTTAGTGGTTAAATAATTCAAATAAACGAAATCACATTAATATAGCATAACATAAGCAAGGGTAAGGTTCACAAGAAGAGACTGTGGATTTGTGCATCATTCAGTCAACTCTTGGGTATAGTTATGGAACTGTGGAGTTGTATACAACTTTGGGTCAGGCTGTTTGACTTAATTGCTCTCATTTTATATCTCAAAATTTTTTCTTGAATAAATAACACATTGAAAATCGCATTAAGAGTGAAATAAATTGCTCAGCCTTGTAGACATTTAATAAAAATTAATCCATTATTTGTATTAGCCCTAATTTATGCCAAATGCAGAGACTTGTAATGACAGTTGAGCTTACTGTTTAGAGCATGTAACAGGTGTGAATATTATATTTTTAAATAGATGGCTTACACAAATGTTATAACAAAACTTCAAATATTGATTATCTTTCCTTACATTGATAAAGCAAAGTTTTTCAAATTCATATTATTTAAAAAATTGCACCAGCAGATGTATTCCCTTGACTGAAGCGTGGAATCAACTGAAGATGTGATCATTTCAACAATATTATTGGTCTTTCACAATTTAATTTCATTTGTAGCCTACTCATTAGTCATAGTCAACAAGTTATATTTTTGTAAAAAGGGAACAAAGAAATATAAGGGCATTAAAAAAAAATAACATTCATTACCCGACAACATTAATTTACAACATGTAGTTATCAAATAACTTAAATCACACTGCAGGTTAGGGGAAATAACTAACACTATTTCAAAGTGGGATAGGTAAGATAACTCATCCAGTAACAAAACATATGTAGGTACAGTGGTACAAAACTCAAAAATTTATTTAATTAATAGTAAATAGGGAAGAACACTGATTTATGGCATCATGGAACAGTAAGCTGTTTTGGTTAAAAGACTAAATGTATTCAAGAAGATGTTATGTAACATTAGGTGTTGTGTGCAAGCCACAGCTGCTAAAGATACCTTTACTGACCACCAAGGAACACAAAAATGATACACACAGAAGAGATTTATTGTCTTTATTTTTGCACAAAATCAATTGTTAAAAAGGAATTAGTTTTGCAATTTAAAAATCAAAAGAGTTTACTTGTTATAATTCTTTATGTATTGATTTTATTTATTTTAAATGCCTTCCTGTTTGTTTTCTATATATTGTTAAAAACATCTATAGCAGAGCAGCAATTTTTTTTTTCAAAGGAATGGTTGGTCACCTAGACTTGAAAAGCTTCTGTCAAAAGATATTAATAAAAGTCAAACTAAACTTCTAAACTGACACTTCCTGACTGTCTTCTGGAAACTGGTGTGTAAGCTTTTGTCTTTCTTTTTAAACGGGTGTGTAAGCTTTTGTCTTTCTTGTTTAACTGGTGTGTAAGCTTTTGTCTTTCTTGTTTAACTGGTGTGTAAGCTTTTGCCCTTGTATTTAAACTGGTGTGTAAGCTTTTGCCCTACTATTTAAACTGGTGTGTAAGCTTTTACCCTACTATTTAAACTGGTTTGTAAGATTTTGCCCTTGTATTTAAATTGGTGTGTAAGCTTTTGCCCTACTATTTAAACTGGTGTGTAAGCTTTTGCCCTACTATTTAAACTGGTGTGTAAGCTTTTGCCCTACTATTTAAACTGGTTTGTAAGATTTTGCCCTACTATTTAAACTGGTGTGTAAGCTTTTGCCCTACTATTTAAACTGGTGTGTAAGATTTTGCCCTACTATTTAAACTGGTGCGTAAGATTTTGCCCTACTATTTAACTGGTGTGTAAGATTTTGCCCTACTATTTAACTGGTGTGTAAGATTTTGCCCTATTTAAACTGGTGTGTAAGATTTTGCCCTTGTATTTAAACTGGTGTGTAAGATTTTGCCCTACTATTTAACTGGTGTGTAAGATTTTGCCCTATTTAAACTGGTGTGTAAGATTTTGCCCTTTTATTTAAACTGGTGTGTAAGCTTTTGCCCTACTATTTAAACTGGTGTGTAAGATTTTGCCCTACTATTTAAACTGGTTTGTAAGATTTTGCCCTACTATTTAAACTGGTGTGTAAGATTTTGCCCTACTATTTAAACTGGTGTGTAAGATTTTGCCCTACTATTTAAACTGGTGTGTAAGATTTTGCCCTACTATTTAAACTGGTGTGTAAGATTTTGCCCTACTATTTAAACTGGTGTGTAAGATTTTGCCCTACTATTTAAACTGGTGTGTAAGATTTTGCCCTACTATTTAAACTGGTGTGTAAGATTTTGCCCTACTATTTAAACTGGTGTGTAAGATTTTGCCCTACTATTTAAACTGGTGTGTAAGATTTTGCCCTACTATTTAAACTGGTGTGTAAGATTTTGTTCTTCATTACGAGGTTGTTTTTTCCCCACACATTTCATTTGAGATATAGAAATAATATGATATCATAATGTGTTGCAAATGGAATAGCTTTTCTCTATCATCCATTAACCAACTCTCACACACAAACAAAAATCAAAATAATTATATTTCCATATTTGCCTTGGAAAAATTAATGTTAATTTTAGACTAATAATGTTTTGTTTTTTTAAACAAATTAATACCAACTTTTAAAGTAATAAAATGACAGTCATGCACAAAAAACAATTTAAAATAGGAAATGAATAAACTGGATCTTAACTGAAATGGTAAATCCCATTTTTCATAACTGACCGGCTATTTATCTCAACCTACAATTGTCTAGTCCACCTGTTTCAAAAGTCTTGTGTTTCGTCTGTGTTTCTCAAGCAGCATCTACACATTTCTCAAGCAGCATCTATACATTTCTCAAGCAGCATCTATACATTTCTCAACCAGCATCTACACATTTCTCAACCAGCATCTATACATTTCTCAAGCAGCATCTATACATTTCTCAACCAGCATCTATACATTTCTCAAGGAACATCTATATATTTCTCAAGCAGCATCTATACATTTCTCAAGCAGCATCTATACATTTCTCAAGCAGCATCTATATATTTCTCAAGCAGCATCTATACATTTCTCAACCAGCATCTATACATTTCTCAAGCAGCATCTACACATTTCTCAAGCAGCATCTATACATTTCTCAAGCAGCATCTATACATTTCTCAACCAGCATCTATACATTTCTCAAGCAGCATCTATACATTTCTCAACCAGCATCTATACATTACTCAAG